CTGGGATCTACCAGGCTCCTGCCACCGGCGCCGCTAGTTTTTTGTATTATTTATTAGTAGAGACGGCGGTTTGTTAGCCAGGGATGGTCTTGATTTCTCCTGACCTCGTGTGATCCGCCCGCTTCTCGCCTCCAAATGCGGGGATTACAGCGTGAGCGTGGAGCCGCGCCTGCCCCTGGGAGCATGCGACTTTTTAATCTGAGGGCCCCGAGGGTTCATGTTCCTGAGTTCCTTAATTTTTTTTTTTTTTTTTTTTTTTTTTTGAGACGGAGTCTCGCTCTGTCACCCAGGCTGAGTGCAGTGCCGATCTCAGCTCACTGCAAGCTCCGCCTTGCGGGTTTACGCCCTTCTCCTGCCTCAGCCTCCCCGAGTAGCTGGACTACAGGCGCCGCCACCTCGCCCGGCTAGTTTTTGTTATTTTTTAGTAGAGACGGGCTCCTGTCATGGAATGTTGAAATTGGCTTAAACCAAATGGAGATTGCCACCATTGCCCCTGGGATCAGAGTGGAGTTAGCATTCCCCGGAACCCATAGCTGCAGGGGGAGGGGCAATAAAATCAGCAATTCTCCTAAAAGAGAGAAGTGTAATATATGCTGAGCAGGTACCTGACAATATGAGTGTGACGGAGGAACTTCTCATGATGGTACTGATGGCTTTTTGAAATCCAGGGCAAGAAAGGACGCTTTTAATATTTAGAGAAATAGGCCGGGCGCGGTGGCTCACGCCTGTAATCCCAGCACTTTGGGAGGCTGAAGCAGGTGGATCACTTGAGGCCAGGAGTTCGAGACCAGCCTGGCCAACATGGTGAAACCCCGTCTCTACTAAATATACAAAAATTAGCCAGCGTGGTGGTGTGCACCTGTAATCCCAGCTACTCGAGAGGCTGAGGCAGGAGAATCGCTTGAACCCAGGAGGCAGAGGTTGCAGTGAGCCAAGATCACACCATTGTACTCCAGCCTGGGTGACAAAAATGAAACTCCATCTCAAAACAAAAACAAAAAATATTAGATAAATAAAATATGGGTCTAATAGGAGTTATGATTATTAATGGGGCAAATTAAGGAATTTGGAAGTTGGAGACTGACTTTGACAAGACGGGTGTATTTAGATTTGAACACAGAATTTGACATAAAATATATGTTGGAAAACAAGAAAATAATTAAGCACATTAGCAGTATTTTGCTGCTAGATAATTCTCCCCCAGTTTATCTTCAATCCTCAAAATCAAGTGGCAATGGGAGGTCCCGTGGAAACAAGTCAGGGGAGATAAGGTAAATCCACTGGTGTTCCTAGCAGAAATTTTACTGATAATCAGAATAGTAATAAGTATTGAAATAAAGCAAAAACAAGTGGATGGGCCAGGTGTGGTGGCTCATTCCTGTAATCCTAGCACTTTGGGAGGCCAAGGCGGGCAGATCACTTGAGGCCAGGAGTTTGAGACCAACCTGGCCAATGTGGCAAAACCCCGTCTCTACTAAAAATGCAAAAAGTAACCGGGTGTGGTAGCCCACGCCTGTAGTCCCAGCAATGTCCCGGGAGGCTAAGGCAAGAAGATTGCTTGAACCCAGGTGGCAGAGGTGGCAGTGAACCAAGATGGCGTCACTACACTCCAGCTAGGGTGACAAAGCAAGATTCTGTCTCCAAAAAAAAAAAAAAAAAGTGGATGTTGCCAAAAGGGGAGGGGGGGAGCAAGAAGTCTGTGTCAAAATATATCTTATTTTTGATAAATCTCCAAACAAGTGTGCAAATACTCCTGTCAGTAGGCTCAATCAACAGTCTATCTTGACACCCTGAAGCTAATGCAGAGAAAAAAATGCCCAAGAATAACTGGCAGCTGATCTATTTGTTTTTTTTACACCAGGCAGAGAACCATCTAATTTTTCTATATTAGGGAGGAAATTGAGTAAACTCAATATGCTTGGTAATATCACCGTAAAACTAAGACAAAAATTGAAACAAATAATTGAACACTCATGGACTTCAGTATGGAACTAAAAAATAAAATGTTTTGCTAGACATGGTGGCTCACACTTGTAATCCCAGCACTTTGGGAGACCCAGGTGGGAAGACTGCTTGAGGCCAGAAGTTTGAAACCAGCCTGGGCAACAGAGAATCCAGAGGCAAGATTCCAGCTCTACAAAAAAGTTAGGGCAGGTGTCAATGCAGTGCCATACCTGCAGTCTCAGCTACTCAGGAAGGCTGGATGGGAAGACTGGCTTGAGCCAGAAGTGTGAGGCTGCAA